GCATATTACATGTTTTAACTTCTTAAAAGTGATGTTATTAATATAATTAATCAGTTATTAGAAATAAAGACCAGCCAACACACATGAACTTGGTCACTTCTAATGGATGAAACAACATGCACTCACACTAACTGCATCCAAACAAAAGGCCCACATGAAATTTTAACAAGAAGAAAATTTTACAAAAGCCCTAGAATTGTTCTTTTTTAGTACGTCTGATTTTCCCTGATTGCCAACTTATTAAAGATAAAATTACAAAACAGTATTTAACATTTAAACCAGTCTATAGCTAAAATAAGTCACCATTAGTCACCATGAGAAAAGAGAAGATGCTACCTTTAATGCAAAGCATTAGAAAAAGTCCCTCAGTAGCAGATTGTTTATGGTTAAACACCAGATTACGAACACATTCACATTTTAAGACTGAACAGGAAAGCAGAAATAAGCTACTTAAAGGAGTAGCTGGAAGCAACCCCTCTCCCGCTGAAGAAATGAAAGCTAGGGGAGACTTAGAAACATGTATAAATTCTTTAATTACTATACCACTCAATCTTCACAGGAAAAAAAAAAAAGGTACAAGATTTCTACAACACTTTAGGCTGATGAGATACATTAATGACATTGGTAAAAATGAAATCATCCTTACTCCTCCGGTGTGTGCCATAAACTAACTTCATACACACAGACCTTAAAACCAATCAGCAGACACTAAAGCCAAACCATGACTCCCAAAAGAAGGTACACACTGTACACCATTGAATGCAAAAGGAATTTTATCCTTCAAACCCAGCACAGCACTGGCTGTAACTATTAACCCGGTTCTGCTGTAGAGAAACACAACGTGCATTACTGAATCATTTCTTTTCAAATCCATACATTCCCTGCAGCAGTTCAAGCTTCATCAGCAGTGCAGGAATGTATGAAAATGACAGGCAAAGGGCACTAGCTCTTTTCCCATACAGTTCTTCTATAAATGGAAGCAGAGTCCTACAAAGCACTTAAAGCTGAGAATGTTTGAAGACTGATCTCCAGGAAAAAAAATAACACAATGCTAGGTTCCACAAGCAGATTAATTATTCCGTTTTCTGCAAAACTCTTTCCATAAAATGAAAGGACAGAGGGGAAACCAACTACTAGAAAATAAGGGAACGCTAGCTGGGTCTCATCAGCAAAGCTGCCACGAACAAAGTATATACAAACACATACATATTTCATATGCTATTCTTAAAAAATACTTCTCAGCCCTTTTGGGAGCACCTGCTCCTGAATTCACTTTTCCCTCTGCCTCTCAGCAAGGGAGAGAAAAAGGACAGGCTTGGCAGAAATCCTTTAACAGTCTTAAGTCACTTGATTCACCTTAAAAATTACACCTTTTATCAGTAGCATGTTATAGAAACTTTAAAATACACCAGTCATGATTAAAAGACTGAAATATTTAATGTATGCCACATTGATAAGCTGGTTAGGGAATCAAATGAAAGTATGCTATATCATAACGCAGCAAGAAACTTGCATGCTTATTGCTAAAACTCTGAGCTGCCTTCCAGCTTTTTTTCTTTTGTTGTTTCAGTGGTTAACACAAATCCATAATGTTCTCTGGATGGAAAAAAAAAAAAAAAAAAAAAAAAAAAAAAAAAAGTCTTAATGGCAGCCCTCACTGCTACTTTGCCATCCTGAGTGTGAAGAAAATACCGTGGCACATCCCTTGCCTGCACGGCTGGATTTACACCAGCCCGAGCTCCCTGCCGTACGAGCAGGAGGGGGCAGGAGGAACCAAGGCAAGAGCAAACACTGCACACCGCGTCTCATTTCCAGTATCTTTTTACAGAAGCCCTCGCTAACAAAACACTATAGCTCCAGGCAGCGGCATGCTGATGTTGGCACTGCTTAAACCAAACAAACACGATGTTTAACAGTCAAATAAAATGTCCCGCAGCCTCCCTAATGAATTTGTCAAGGACCATCAGATCACCCCCGCCCCTGCCTCATTAACTCAAGTATGATGAGACGGATTATAACGAGAGAATACAGATCAATCGGTCTGAAGACTTCAAGTGGCTTTTAGCCCTGAGAGTTTCCCTCTCTGCGGCACACGCACGCACACGGTCTTTTTTAATGGAATACAGTATCTCCTGCTGCTGGAGGGGATGCCACTTCGTTTTATACACCATCAAGGAGCTGCTGATGGACTTCTACACTAACATACATAAAAGCAGAGGTGACAAGGGCTCTTCAATTATAGCCTCCTCGGATCCTGTTCCCCCTTCAATTATTCATCCCGGCGAGAGCAAATTCCGCCACAGATGAAGCTGGTCTTAATGCAGTGCGGCCACAAACGCCCAGACACGGGAGAGAAGGATCTCACGTGCATTATTTGCTGGAAGTGTTTAAGTTTATTGCTCAAATGATGCTTCTAATTAGCGTTGGGGCAATAAATTAAAGTCAGCTTTTGTTTAGCTGATTTATTATTTACTAGGGTTTCAACCTCAGGCAGGAAAATTGGTAATGAATTGTTTTAAATCTGAACACTGGTAAGGGGGGGGGGGTGGGAAGGGAATCGCCCCCTCCTCCTGCTTTTACCCTGAAAAAAGGAACGCGTGTGACCCCGCCATTGCCAGGGCCGCCCAAAGGCTCCGGCAACCTCCTCCGCGCCCAGATCACGGTAACCCCTAGGCTGGGCGCTCCCTGAGGGAAGCGAGACCCCGCGGAGCCCTGCTGCCCACCTCCGCTCGGAGGGCAGATGTGCAGAGCCCTCGCCAGCGCGGAGAGCGGTGCTAGCCCGGCAGCGAGTACGCCCCGGGAGCTTTCACGGCGTGTGAAAGGGACCCCCGGCCCTATCTAACTCTTCCCTTTGCCGGAGGGCAGCGGAAGGCGAGGCGTGGGACCCTGGCAGCTCCGCCGGGCCAGCCGAGTCGCGCAGAGAAGCGCCGCGCAGGCGAGCCTCCGAGCGCCCCGGCGGGCGCGGCCCCGGGCAGGGCCCGGGCAGCTCCGCAGGCACTCACCGCGCCTCGGGGCGGAGAGCCCCGCTCCAGCCCGCGCATCGCCGTGAGAACAGCGGCGCCAGCGCCCACTCTGCCCTCGCGGCAGCCTGCCCCCTCTCCCGCAGCCCTCGGAGGCTGCTCGCCTCGGAGCCTTCCCTGGGCTCATCTCCCTCCCGACGGGGCTGGGTCTGGCGGGGACACCTCACACCGCCGCCAGCTCCGGGCACCGCGGGCCGCCGGGCTAGCCCCTCCATCCCTCGGCGCAGAGTGCCCCGGCGGCAGGCAGGGAAGCAGGGAGCCCATCCTCTCCTCGCGAAGGACGGAGCCGCACCGGCGCCGGGCACGTCTATACTTACTTCTTCCACCGGTACGGTCGGCACCAGACATGTTTCTAATTTAAGCGCACACAGAAAACAGACGGAGGTATTTTCTTTATTAAAATCAGCCAGCTGCAGCGAAAGGAGGAGAGCGCAAGGAACCGAGCTGCGAGCGGGTTACCGGGAGGCTCTGCACGGAGGAGCGCGCCGCGCGTCTGCAAGGGCACGGCCCCGGCGGGGCTCCCGGGTGGCGAGAGCCGCCCCGCACGGCGGGACTGCACGGCCCAGGGGAGGGCAAAGCAGCTACACACGCTTGCCCCGAGCACTGGAGGTATGGAAACTGCCCTCCCTTCCATCCTAAGTTCCCGCAGGAAAAGCAGATCTGGCTCCTCCGCAGCAGGTACTGCCCGGGGTTCCTTCCGACCTGACACTACGGAGCTACGGCTTTATGTCCAAACCATTCCATATTCTTGTTAATACAAACTCGCATAAAATATCGTTTCTCTTTGAATAACTCAATCCTACACTTTAGGAGGATGAAAAGAACTTTATGACACAAGATTTATCTAAATTAAGATGACTGGGGGTAGTAAAACAAGGTGTGCCACGCTACTCCGGTGACGCTCTCACTTTCACTGCTGCAGCCCGGCATTAACCGAAATAAGATTTATGCCTGCGGTGAAGCCCCGGCCCGCCTCTCCACTTTCCCCGCACACACCGGCACTGCCGCCGGGTCCCCTCGCAGCGAGCGGAGGGAGCAGCGAGCTCACCTCGCCCTTCACCGGCTGCCACGGCGAAATTACAGGGATTTTTTGTTCCACCCCACACCCACCGCACCGGGCGGCGGGACGCCCCGAGCCTGCCTGCCTCCCTCCCGGCTTCCCTGCAGCCCTTCCCGGCTCCAAGCCCTGGCGCGGGGCCGAGGGGCGGGAGCGCGGGCGCGTGTGCGCGCGCCGGGCGCCGCGATTGGCCGCGGTGCTGACAGCTCGGCGGCGATTGGCGGCGCGGCCCCGCCCCGCGCCCGCGCGCGGCCCCATTCATAAACTACAGGGCCCGGCGGCAGCGCCGCGAGAGGGACGCGGGCACACGGCGCTGCAGGAGCGGAGCCAGAGGCGCGGACACCGGGAGCCTCGGCGCGCACTTCCAGGGGTGGGGAGGGGGAGGAGAACCCATCCCGGGCACGGCAGCTGCGGCCTCCTCCCTCTCAGGATAAAACACAGTCTGTGCAAAGAAAACAAACAACAACAACAACAACAACAACAACAAAAAAAAAAAAAAAAAAGCAACAACTCCTCTCCATACAGTCTCTCTCACAACAATCTATGTAGAGCTGCAGGACGGGAATGAGAGATCACAGACCAAGTGCACCCGTCTGCGCCTAAAGATAGAGACAGCCACAGAGCCGGGTTCAGCCAACGCCTCCAGCAGGAAAAGGGAAATCAACAACATCCCCTGACAGTCTGAGCGAGCGGCAGCCAAACTCATGCACATCTCTGGCGGTGCCACGGACTGAAAGAGAGACAGACAGACAGACAGACAGACAGACACAGAGTTCACTCTTCCGCTAAGGGCATTGCTCGCATTCTTCTCCTCCTCTCGTATCGTGTGCGGTTTTAAACTTCGCCGCCGACCGGCTTTTCTGCGGGAACCTTCTGCGAGTCCTGGGGAAGTTTGTTTGTTGTTTTGGGGTTTTTTTCCATGAACTACTGAAACGGCATTTTCGTCGCTGCGCGGGGGGGGGTGGGCGCCTGAGCGCAGAGGCAGCCCAGACTTCCCTGCCCCCATCGCTATCCAAAACTTTGCGCTCCGGGAGCCCGCGGGGGCTGCCCACCTCTCCGGCTCCGGCATCACCAGCACAAGCACCAGCACCGCCGCCGAGCCCGCACCGGGCCGCTCCTCCTCCTTCTCCTTCTCGCCGGGGCAGCGCTGGGCTTCGCCCCTTTGTGCTTCGCCGCCCTCCCCGATTTCTTTAATTGCTCTCACTGGCGCGCCGCTGCCGCCTTCTTCCCGGAGGCGGTGGGGGTCTGCGATTTGGCTGGTGCCTTCCGCAAAGCTGCAGCCACCGCTAAAGCATTGGATCCCTCAACGTACTGCGAGAGCCCGGTGTACAGCCCGGACCTGTGCCCCAACATGATCGCCGCGCAGGCCAAGCTGGTCTACCAGCTCAACAAATACTACACGGAGCGCTGCCAGGCGCGCAAGGCGGCCATCGCCAAGACCATCCGGGAGGTGTGTAAGGTCGTGTCGGACGTGCTGAAGGAGGTGGAGGTGCAGGAACCGCGCTTCATCAGCTCCCTAAGCGAGATCGACGCCCGCTACGAGGGGCTGGAGGTGATCTCGCCCACCGAATTCGAGGTGGTGCTCTACCTCAACCAGATGGGCGTCTTCAACTTCGTGGACGACGGCTCCCTGCCGGGCTGCGCCGTGCTCAAGCTGAGCGACGGCCGCAAGCGCAGCATGTCCCTCTGGGTGGAGTTCATCACCGCCTCTGGCTACCTGTCCGCCCGCAAGATCCGCTCCCGCTTCCAGACGCTGGTGGCTCAGGCCGTGGACAAGTGCAGCTACCGGGACGTGGTGAAGATGATAGCGGACACGAGCGAGGTGAAGCTCCGCATCCGGGAGCGGTACGTGGTGCAGATCACGCCCGCCTTCAAGTGCACCGGGATCTGGCCGCGCAGCGCGGCGCAGTGGCCCATGCCCCACATCCCCTGGCCCGGCCCCAACCGGGTGGCGGAGGTGAAGGCGGAGGGCTTCAACCTGCTCTCCAAGGAGTGCTACTCGCTGACGGGCAAGCAGAGCTCGGCCGAGAGCGACGCGTGGGTGTTGCAGTTCGGCGAGGCCGAGAACCGGCTTCTGATGGGCGGCTGCCGGAACAAGTGCCTGTCGGTGCTGAAGACGCTGCGCGACCGGCACCTGGAGCTGCCCGGGCAGCCCCTCAACAACTACCACATGAAGACGCTGCTGCTGTACGAGTGCGAGAAACACCCGCGGGAGACCGACTGGGACGAGGCGTGCCTGGGCGACCGGCTGAACGGCATCCTCCTGCAGCTCATCTCCTGCCTGCAGTGCCGGCGCTGCCCCCACTACTTCCTGCCCAACCTAGACCTCTTTCAGGGCAAACCCCACTCTGCCCTGGAAAGCGCTGCCAAACAGACCTGGAGGCTAGCCAGAGAAATCCTCACCAATCCCAAAAGCCTCGACAAGCTATAGGGTTAATACGCCCGCGCACAAAAACTCGCCCTCCGTAAACAACAACAGCGCTTAAAAAACTTTCTATTTAACGCGAACGACGACGGAAAGAGGCGGCGAAAGACAAGCGCCCCCGCCACCCCCCCACCCACCTGCAGTTCGGCCTTTAAAAACTTGCCGATGGTTTTCCCGGCATAAACTCTCACCGCCTTGCACAGAAAAAGGGAAGAGCCTCTCTCCTCCTGTCCTCCAATGTGAATTTTTAAAAGGTCACAAAAAGAAGCGATCGGACTTTTGCAACTTCAAAACGAAACCCGAAAGGTACATTTTCCAATCCATGTATAGTCCTTTTCTTATGCTCTCTTGTTTGCCTGAATGTTGTCACCAAGTGAAAAAATTATTTAACTATATGTACAAATCTCCCTTTAAAAAAGTTTTACTGATGTTAAATGTATTTCGGTGCCAAGGTCAGATTATGTGCCCCACAACTGACTTGTTGCAAATAGTAATAAAAATATTACTTTAACTTTACGCTGACTTTTTGTGAATGGTTCTTAAATTTAGGCAAATACATTATTTCTGAACCTCAGAAGGAATATTTTTTAAATAAACGAAAACACGAGATGTAAAGATAGGCTAAACACAACACTTAGCCCAAGTCTTAGCTCAGCATATTGACTGATGTTTTCTAACCTCCTTCTAGTTTCCATTAAAAAAAAAAAAGTGCATCTAAGAAAAATAATCTTATACATTCTGTAGTTCAGCATGTGACAACATCTGCTATATTTCTATTACTCTAAGGTTCTGTTCTAAATCTTGGAATATATGAAGCATCGCACAGCAGCTCGACACAGTTTAGTCAGAATTACAGCATGCCTTTTCCTACCCTACAGGCGGGGGTTTTTTTTTTTTTTTTTTTTTTTTTTTTTTTTTCCTTGGGTATTCTTTGCTTCTATTTTCCCCCGGTAAATCTCTAGCGCTGCATTTTGTTTTAAAAATCCACCGCTCTTTGCTTTCGTTCCCCGGAGCGAACGCGCTATCCATTTGACTTTGACGCGAAGGAAGTATAGATCTACCCTGAATAATTAATGCGATTTAGAGCAACCGGTCGGTATTTTTTTTAAAGAAACATTTGTTTTTGCCCAGATTTTTAAGTACAGCATAAAATCGCAGCGCAGCATAGTCAGACGGGGAGATAAGCGGGAACCCGTCAGGAAACCACCCGATCCTATGCCGGCACCCGGGCGCTCTCTGCCGATCTCCTTCCCTGCCCCAGCCCCCTCTCCCAAAGAGAAGCTCTGCCTCATTCCCCGTAGCTATTTCTCTTTCAGCTTGCTCGGGACGACTGAGAAATACTGGCAGGATTTTTATCGGGAACGCGTTCCTACGATTTAAAAACTTTAGCGTTACCCGCTCGAGCTGCCCGAAAGATTGCAACGCTGGCTAGGAGCATTTCGAGCGAGTTTTTATATCCTTTCGTGGGCCGGGGGGAGGAAAGAAAATTTCTAGTTCTTGCCCCAGAGGACTATTTTCGTTTCCTTTCGGACAGAGACGGAAAGAAATAACCATTCAAACTTGAGCTGGTTTTGCCTTTAAGTTTGAAAACGAAATCCTCGATGGCGGCGGCAGCAGGGGCGATGGAGAGGGATGAGCGGGGCCATCCTGGCCGGCGGAGCGGGCACACCCCGGCTCCGGCCCCGCCGCCGCGTCCGCAGCCCTTCCAGCCCCGGCTGAGCCCCACAGGTCTTTTGTGGAAACATCTGAGCGCTTTCCACAGCGCTGATCCCGGATCACCTGGCAGAACGGGATTAACCGTTCCTTCCCAAAACAGCCCAGAGCTCACGCATAAACTCTGATCGTATCGCTGCCGATGCTATCGCTACCTAAGGCAGGTTTTCCTTCAGGAACTTGTCACAATGTTTTCTTTTCGGTAGTTTAGACAAATATACAGGGAATTTAAATTTATCAAACATATGAAGCCTCATTAATTAAGCAGGTCTGTGGAGCTTACAGCGGATTAGTTGTTGGGGCTTTTTTTTTTTTTTTTTTTTTCCAAGGGGCATTTTCTACAGCAGCTTTTCATCGCTATCAAGGTACACTGACTTCAGGACAGGGTGGGGCAGGGAGGCGTTAATGACTGAAAAGATGCTGCTTGTAAGATTACGTAGTTCTTAAAATAAAATTATTCAGATCTGATTTTTAGGTTTCCCCCCCCCTCCCTCCCTGAGACATTATAAAAGGTATTGTTTTGAAATTTTAAGACCTCCAGCTAAATTAACATTGAAAGCAGAATGTAAGAGGTGTAGCCAATATTTCGTGTAACCAACCTCTCCTGTTTTAAGAACTCTTAAGAAAATCTCTCAGATACAGAGCAAAAGATAGGGTCAAACAAAACCAGAAAGCCTGCTCACAGTTAAGAAAAAAACCTCTACCAAATACTGGGAAGCAGGCGAAAAGGAGGCTAACTATATGTTACATAGCAGTGTTTCCACAAAACATGTAACAGGAATGTTAAGAATCAGTAACTATACTCAAAGATCCTATGTGCTGAACATGAAAACCAAAAATCCAGAATAATGCAGATCTATAAGACTCTTCTCATGCTCACACAATATAAAACAGAATATTTTAGATGGAAAATGCAATACAGGAACATTTCAAACAAACTTTAATTTCACATTTATATTCTTTCCATCATTAAATGGGGTTTTTTAGTTAAATTGGGGGAGAGACTAATGAAACATAATAGAAAGATACAAGCATATAAAAATTTTAAGCACGATCTCATATTTAAAATAATTTCCAATATATTTCAAAAATTCTTCAGGACCAAAAGAAAAGTTAAGTCTTATTTATGATATCGCATAAAATCACAATTCTAGCTAATTGCTTACATTAAAATCTAGCTCTAACAATTTGAGAGCACTGCTTTTCGGCATAAATTTTTTTCTGGATAGGATTTGATAATCTCAGCTTTCAGACCCACCTATGCCATTTTTAATACAGACAAGAGCAATTTACTCAATAGGAACAAAGAACTGAACCAGTGCTTAACACAAGGTATTCTCTCTACAGACAAGCAGAAAACCACGACTTTTTCCAGCAGTAGCCTTCCCAAAGAAATTGTTACCCAGTTTAACATTAGGCAGGTATTTAAAAAACCAAGAGCCATGACTATGCTTAAATAGTGAGAATATTTACCACTTGTGTCCTACTTTCGAAATGTTGCTGCAAGACTGCAGAAAACATTCAAGTGCAATGTTATTAAGCTAATTGCATGATATGCCCCCTTTGAAATTGGAATTTTACTGAAGGTTACTAATTTTAACCAGAAGACAAGTAATCAAGCAACTCAGAGCAAATAAAGTTTGTGAAAATTATCAAGTCAGTTCAGAAACATATTTTAGAAGGGCAATTATGTTTTATGCTTAGGCACAATAAATAATAACGGGCAGAGTAAAATGTGTTAGAGAGTAATATGACAGGAGCACTGTAAACTTAGGAGTGTGGGAAGTTCGGTGCTGTTTTACACTAACATTTGCTAAAATCAGGAAAGTAAAACAAAGTATTAGGGCTAAAAGCCTCGCTGAACTTCCCTGTATTCATACAGGCCTGCGATTCAAGATGTCTTTATTTCAGACATGTTTCCCTGGAGCATTATTCGCAGCAAGCTAATTAACATTCAAGTAGGGTTGAATTGTGGGAGGGGGAGAAAAAGGAGCAGGAAAGGAGGTGTCACCTATGTGAAGTTCAGCAACATATATGGTCAGTGACCAAGTTATTAATGCAGCAACACTGCAGCCCAATAGAGGTAAAGGAAGTCAAGTGAAGAATTAAAGGTCTTGGGTAATTTGTCATCATCTCTCAGACCTCAGGGTCAATGATCTCTTACCTTTGGGTCGATTTTCTTAAAACTAGGATCTTCTTCATCCACCTCAAAGTAGAGCTCAGAAAGAGTGATGGAAAGGGTGCCTTTCACTACTGCGGAGGGTGCCACAAGCTGAGCTGGTGTGCTGAGGGACACTGGACCTGCCAAAGCAGGAAAACACCAACAATGTTCAAACTGAAAAGAATGCAAGTAGAAATTATTCACTTTTCAGGCCAAGGACATTAAAATAAAGCAAAGAGCACAGCTCTTCCTTACAGAGCAAACCCCTTTTTGTCCCGGAAAAGAACATATGTAACAGATTTGCAGTGTCTCTGTGCTGCCGAACACTGAGGCAGCTGCAATTGCAAACTGCTGCATACATTACACAGAGCTGGCTTTAGCAGGGCAGTCTTCAGCTTTTACTCAGACACATCTTCTGTCCAAGAAACTCCAAGAGTTGCACACCTTCTGTTACATGAAATATAGAGAGTGCACACATGAACACTCAAAATCTTACTGTATGATGTGTTCTTTAGTTGCTGAGAAGTTTTGATAGCATTTCACAAAGATGAACACAGCAGTCAAGGCTCAAAGTTGTCTAACTGCAAAGTGTTCTCTCGTGGATGCTGGAAATCTATTGTTAAGGTTACACAATGTTATAGAGCCTAAAGTAAAATGTTTTAAAGATGCTTTTGATTCCATATTAAATATTGTTCAAGGATTCCATACAGTGTTAGTGTAGCTTGGGGACTGTGGGAGTAAACAGCTGGAGGGTTGGTTTCCAACTGAATTAATTTTTATTGGAATAATCACATCTCCACAGGGCTTATCACAGGGACAAATCAGACTACTACTGAAAACAATAGGTTCAGAATTATATAAACTAACACATACAGAATGAAAACAGGTTATGTTTGTCATCCAGCTGATTAAGAGGCAAGGAAATGAAGTTACATGGCTGCAGTATTATCTGACTTTTGTAAAACAGAGGAAGATACTAAAGTGACATAGACAATTTTATTTTAATAAAGCATCTATAAATGAGGTACACACGTCCAGGTAATCAACGTGAGAATAACTGACAAAAAATTCAGATGAATTGTCATTTCCATCGATTGTTAGAAGGGTGATGGTCCTTAATCTCGCATCAATCTCAATGTGTGCCACTAGGACAAAAGAAGAGATGCTCTGCTGAGATCAGAGCAGCTTTGCCCTCTATTCCCAACGTACAAATACATTGTG